CACCCCCTGACCAGAGCCAGGGCTGGAGCCTGTAGCCGAGGTATGTGCCCTTGACCAGAATCTAACTCGAGACCCTTTAGTTCTCAGGCTGATTCTCTATCTATTGAGCCCTACTGGCTAGGGTTGATAGCTCAATTTTGAAAATGAAATGTATTTTAATAAACACTGCCTTTATAATTGTTCAAAGTGTGTGTATGCATTTTTGGGGGGACACCCTATATATTTATACTAAGAATAAGAATTCGAATTCTTAGGTATATCTTAATCCTGTTTCTTTGTTACAAGTGTTCTTATCCTATTTTAGCTAATAAACTGTTTTTAGACAAATAACTTATAACACACTTCCCAGAAGAAGAGTACTAAAACGATATTGTTTTAGGTCAGGAGTCACCCAGGTCCATACAAAATACTATAAAAGATGAAATGAGAAAGAATGAGAATACAAGGGGCTGAGAGATGACCATTGACTGCCCTGTGTCATTTGTCTCCAGTTGATCTTGCTGTTTGTTGTTTTTGAGGATTCCTGGGTGGTAGGGAGAACTCAGAGAGACAGTAATCAACACTCTTGTCTGGCTTTGCTCAGAGTTACTGGGTTAGTGCACTTGGATTCAGTCTTTCGTAACTCATTTTATCCATTCACTTACACTGAATCATCTTTATTTGAGTAAGATATCTTGAAACTGAATCATACTGGTACAGTGTATATGGTGCTTCATAAATGTATGACTGTTTTTGTTCTATGTATTGTGTTGGATGTACCAGCTGCCCTCAAGGCATTTATAGTACAGTGAATGAGGGAGAGAAACACACGGATTATACTAGATTATAAGGTTTTACAATTTGAACCTCTTTATTGGGAGGGGAGTGCTGTTTTTTAAAATAACACAAATTTATTATCTTACTGTTCTGGAGGTCAGGAATCCAAAATTAGTGTTGTAGGACTAACAAGGTGTTGGCAGGGCTGTGGACCTCTGGAGGCTCTTGGGGAGAGCTGTTTTCTTGCCTTTCCAGCTGGAGGCTGCTCACAGTCCTTGGATTGTGAGTTCGGCCTCCATCTTCAAAGCTCATCATTCTAACGTCTGCTGCTGTTGTCGCTTCTCTTTCTGCTGCTATCACCATTATGTTACCTTCTCTGACTGACTCTCCTGCCTCCCTGTTATAAGGACTTTGTGATTACATTGGGCCCACATGGCTAATCCAGGAAACACTTCACCTCAGGATTCTTAATTTAGTCATATCTACAAAGTCTGAGATTCAAACTCCTGTCTGTCTGACTTCAGAATCTGTGCTTATTAAATTTAACAAACCGTGGTGCTATACTGCCCACCACTAGAGGTCTAAGAGTATCTGTTACTTCACATTCTGATATTTAGAATCATTTTTGAAGTAATTCATGACTCTTATAGATGTCTAATTAGAACTCTTTGTAGATGAATGATTGTTCCTATTGCTGCCACATTTTATTTATTTTCTTGCCAGTTTTATGGTATAAATGAAAATAAATATGTTGTATTGACACAATACCTAGTGCCATTTTCCCTCTTCCTATATATAAGAAATAATGACTTAAATTTTGTACAGTGTATATGGTGCTTCATAAATGTATGACTGTTTTTGTTCTATGTATTGGCACTAGACGTCTAAGAGTATCTGTTACTTCATATTCTGATAATTAGAATCATTTTTGAAGTAATATAGATGTCTAATTAGAACTCTTTGTTGATGAATGATTGTTCCTATTGCTGCCACATTTTATTTATTTTCTTGCCAGTTTTATGGTATAAATGAAAAGAAATATGTTATATTGACACAATACCTAGTGCCATTTTCCCTCTTCCTATATATAAGAAATAATGACTTAAATTTTTTACAGTGTATATGTGTGACTGTTTTTGTTCTGTGTATTGTGTTGGATGTACCAGCCGCCCTCAAGGCATTTATAGTACAGTGAATGAGGGAGAGAAACACACCCACAGATGACTGGTATACACAGCAACATGTTCTAAGTGCTAGGGTATAAGAAGTGACACAGAACATTCATAGGAAGGCTGAGTAAATCAGGAAAGACTTCACAGAATGGGTAGCATATGAGAGGAGTTTTGAATTTTAAGATGTTTGAGAGTTGAATGCCAAGAGGCATGAACAGCATGAGGAAAGCTGTAAAGGTTGAAAGTTAATTTAAAGAAGGGATGCAGTGTGAGTACAAGTGGGAAAGCTCTTCAGGATTTCCATGACATGACTTTAGTGCTAGGTAAATGGTTGGTAACTAGCTCTTGGGGCAGCTGACTTTACAGGTTTGGACCAGTTGTATTAGAATTTGTTAATCTATAAGCAGTGTTTGGAGTCTGTACTCTGGATTGGAGCCGAGAAAGACTATAGAGAAGAAACTAATTTGGAGGCTTCAGTGAAATTCAAGGCAAGATTTTATTTTATTTTAGTACTTAGCAATTCATACATGTTTTGAGTAAGGGGGAGAGAAAAATCAAAGTTGACTACAGTTCAAATGTGAGTCACTAGGAAAGTAGGGGCCATCAGTAGAAATGAAATGAGGATAAAAAACATTTTTAAGGAAAGATGATATGTTTGGCATTGCTGGGGCACTAGTAGTGAATGTGTTTAATGGGAAAGATTATTTTTTTTTGTATTATTTTTACTGGGTGTATTAACACCTAAGAGGTAACTGGTTACCTGTTATATTTTTTGGTTATTTGTATTTGCTAAAATTTCTATAAACTAATGTAGTTCAGATTATATAGTTATGAGAATACATTTTTGGTAAATCATAGATTATAATAAGCTTATTGATAAAGTTATTTTCTGCCAGTTGCTCTATTTTAGTTATCTATTGCTGCATAACAAACTACCCAAAACTTAAGTTAATTGAAACAACTGTTATTTCTTAGGACTCTGTGGGTTAACTGGGTTTAGCTGAGTTGTAGTTTCTACTCCCTATCGTTTCAGCTACAGCTTTAGTCATCTAGGAGCCTAATTGGGCCGGAAGTCAAGAGGACTCACTCACATGGCTCAGTGATGACCTTGGCTGAGAGCTCAGCTAGAGCTGGTAATGGGAGTGACTTGGTTCTCCTTCACATGGCTGTCCACATCATGGTGGCTGGGTTCCAAAAGGCAGAGTCCCAAGAGCCAGAGTTCCATGAAGAAGGAGGCAGACACTTCCGATTCTCCTAAGACCCATGCTTGAGGATTCCAGAAAGCCTCTGCTGCCATATTCTGCTGGTCAAAGCAATCACAGGGACAGCTCCGGTTCTTGCAGAGGGAAAATAAGCTCTTTTTTTTTTTAAAAACAAACAAACATGTTTTTATTGATTTGCCCATGCTTGAGGATTCCAGAAAGTCTCTGTTGCCATATTCTGCTGGGACAGCTCGGGTTCTTGCAGAGGGAAAATAAGCTCTTTTTTTAAAAAACAAACAAACATGTTTTTATTGATTTCAGAGAGGAAGGTAGAGGGAGAGAGAAATAGGAAGATCAATGATGAGAGAGAATCATTGATGGGCTGTCTCCTGCATGCCCCCTAATGGGAATTGAGCCTGATCCATAATTGAACTGATAACCTCTTGGTTCATGGGTCGATGGCTCAACCACTGAGCCACACCGGCCGGCTAAGCTCCATTTCTTGATGTGAGGAGCATCATGTACATATACCAATTTTTAGAAGCTATCTTTGGAGACTAACAGAGGTTCTAAACATATTAACTCAATAAATATTTATTCGAACATTCACTTTGTACCAGGTATTATTCAGTAGATTCAGTACTAAACTAGGTTGATAATGCTCCTGCTCTCTTGAAGGTTGTATTTCCTTTGGGAGACAATTGATAAATAAATAAACATGATAATTCAAGGTGATGATAAGTGCTATTAGGAAAATAAAGCAAAGTATAGAGAAAGGTGCCATTAAACAAGATAAGGGAAGCTGGTGACTTAGCAGATGTTTACTTGAGCTAGAGCCAATATGAATTCTCAAGTAGAAATTGCTAATCACTCATGCCTTAATCAGTTTCCACATATATGTTAATACAAGTCTAACACAGTACTGTCCAATAGAACTTTTTGCAATGATGGAAATGTTCTATATTGGCACTGTCTGTTGTGGTAGCACTAGCCTCATGTGACAGTTGAGCACTTGATATATAGCTAGTGCAACTGAGGAACTGAATTTTTTATTCTATTTTTAATTTATTTAAATAGCCACATTTGGCTAATGGCTACTGTTGGACTCAGGCAAATTTGGTTTAGAATACCAGCTCTGCTAGTTTTGTGTCCTTGGATGAGTTGTTTAATCAGTCATTTCCTCATAGCACTTTTGAGAGAGATTAATGTGTGCAGAACACTTAACATTCTTTCCATTTGGAAACATCGATTTAAAAGGAAGAGAACATAAAAATGTCTATTTTGTGACTCTAGCTATAAAAATTACAGATAAAGACTTGAAATGGGGGCACAGGAATAAGAAAATAGTTTTCAGGATGGAGTTGTGAATGATTATTTTTCTAATTTTCTCCTGGGTTGTGTTTTGAAAAATAAAAATGAAATTTAAACCGAAATTGTCTTTAGCAGTTTTATCTTCATCAATTTTACTCTTTTACTCTACATTTGCTTTCTGATTATTTTTCTTCTGTGTATTCATTTTACTTCAAGATGTTTTTTTCCCTACTAACGTTTTTCTTTGTAAATTATTTTCTTCATTCTATAAGAATTTTAAGGCTACATTACTTCATTCTTAATATTCTACATAGTGATGTATGCTCTGTTTTGATTTTTTTTTTAAATATCCTATGCACTTAATTTTTATTTAAGGCTAAACTACACTTTTTAGAAGGTTTGCGTTTAATTTTCATTTAAGTGTTCAGTTTAGAATTTGGGAGATTCTCATCCCATAAACCTAACCCCAGCTGTCTTTAACCCATGAATACTAACTTGGCCCAATAAGTGTCTGAATGGCAGTTCTCATTTTCTCACCTGCCAGTTTCACCATTGTAATTGTCAGCGGATTCCACCATTGTGTTCCTTAATTGCTTTTCTGCTTGAGATGATTCAGAGTTTTATTTCAGGCTTTGAGAGTCACATAAGCAATGTTTTACTCTACCATTTTACTATGGACAATAAAAAATGGAACTTCTTACACCAAGGAGTTGTATAGGATGAATAAGTTTAAAATGGATCTAGTTATATTTTTGGACATCACCATTGAACTGATATAAAATATCTGTCTCTAATCATGAACCCCCTTGAATAGTGTTCTTGGATTTTTAGCCACTTATTGAACATGTTTATTTAGATGTTCCTTCTTACTTCTTGGTAATACCTTTGTACCTAAAATATATAAAGTCCTGGTTGATACATGATATCAGAATTTTCCCAGTCATCTGGGCTCACATTTTTATAGTTGTTTTTCTTTGATATCTCCCATAACTGTGTAGATAATCATCAGTACCTAGTGATTCATTCTTTAGAGGTTCAGCTCAATCCTACCTGTCACCACCTTCGTTCAGGCATTTAAAACGTTATACTTGTATTGTATTTTGCTGCCACCAGATGAATATTTTTAATCAATACACTATTTTATATCATTTTCTGTGAGTCCCTATTGCCTACAGGAAAAGTTTAAATGACTTATATGATAGATTGTTTTCCATAATAAGATAGAGTATCTGAGAGTATTTTGGAAACCTCTGAAAACTCATATAATTTGTAAAGAATTAGTGGCCTTTTGATCACCTTTCTTGGCTTTATTTTCCAAACTTCCTTATAAAAGCCTTCCAGTTTAAGACAGGTAAATATGTTCTTCCTTAACCAGATTTATTTTTCTTTTTATCTCTGGTTGGTTCAGCTTAATATTTATTAGGCACTTATTCTTTGGTAGGCGTGTATTTATGGAATATATAAATAAGGCACATTTTCCTCTCAATTTCAGTTCTTTTTATTCTTCAAACTGAGTTTAAAGTTATCCCTTCTATAGCGTTTTCTCTTGATCACCCAGGCCTACAATAACTTTCTCTTTTCAACCAGGACCTCACTGACTTATATCCCACTCTGCTATATGTGCAAAATAACATATATACAAAACATATAGACAGGTTAATGAATTTTTAATTTTTCCAGTTTTATTGAGATATAATTGACATAGAGCACTGTATATAAGTTTAAGGTACACCACATAATGACTCCACATACAGATATTGTGAAATGATCACCACAGTAAATTTAGTTAACCTTCATCTCATAAAGTTATAAAAAAAAGAGTAATTTAAATTTGAGTATCTGTGTAACTACAATCAAAACTCAAGAAATGGAGCATTACCAGTCCTGGAAGTCTAACCACATGCCCCTTGGCAATCAAACCTCTTCCTTCCTTCCTGTCCTTTTGTGATAATCATATTGTCGCTTCCATAGTTTTGCCATCTAGTTTTGCATTCCTAAACTATTATATTTCCTGTTTCTCAAGTTAAGTGAATTCATCACATAATATTACTCGTTTCAGCATTTTTGGTGTTAAGTGTAGCTGAAGTTCATTAATTTTCATCGCTGCATTTCATTGTCCATTCTAATACTGATGTACATTTGAGTTATTTATAATTTAGGGCTATAATGAATAAAGCTACCAGAAAGATTCTGATATCCTGTGTACACATGCACAAGTTTTCTAGGTTGTATTCGTAGTTGAATCTCTGGACCACAGGGCGTGCATAATTTCAGCTTTCCTAGGTAAAGCCATTTTTTCAAAAGATTGGCCCAATTTAGAATCCCATCAACAGCATATGATACACCTTTTTTCCTAATACTTAGAATTGTCAGACTTAAAATTTTGCCATTTTGGTAGGTGTGTAGTGGTATTTCATTGTGGTTTAAAATTGCATTTCCCTGTTTCCCTTTTATATGTTTATTCATTGGTAATTCTTTTGTTATATACTTACTATCCTTTTTCTGTTTTTGTGTGGGATGCTTTTATTTAAAATGTACCTATACAATCTTTTTACTTATTAAATTCATTAACCTTTTATGAGCACCGACCTGACCTTAATGCTATAGCTGATTGGTCCAAAGCCAGTTAAGGAAATTTTGGTCCTCACACCAATCCCACCTTTTAAAAAGAAATTTATTAACAAGCAAAGCTTTTACACAGTAAGCATTAATTTGGTAGCAAAAGGTATCTGTCAGTAGACAAGTATTTTTTTTGTGAGTGCCTGCTAATTCATCCACTCATGGCCTTATATTTTATTTATTTACTTTTAATTTTTATTTTTAACATATTTTATTGATTTCAGAGAGGAAAGGAGAGGGAGAGAGAGAGAGAAACATCAATGATGAGAGAGAATCATTATTGAGCCAGAAACCCGGGCATGTGCCCTGACCGGGAATTGAACCATGACCTCCTGGTTCATAGGTCAATGCTCAACCACTGAGCCACACTGGTTGAGCCAGGGTCATATATGTTAGAGTCATTATTAAGAGCTGCATTTATCCAATCTTGTTTTATGCCATAGCAACACTGAACAATCATTGCCAGGAATTAGCTAAAAAGTACTGAGGCAGCCAGTAGTCAATAAGCATGTAATCTTTGGAGTCAAACAGACTTTGGTCCAAGTTCTGATTCTAGAAATATGTGACCTTGTGCACATTATCCAGGCTGTCTAAAATTCAGTTGTGTGTCATCTGCAAAATGGAAATAATAGCCTATAATGTTATGATGATTCAGTAAGGCATTTAAACATTTAAATTGCATAGCACATCACCTGGCAGGTGTCCATCAACAGTGGTGATGAAATCTAAAACCACCTATCACCCAGTATTTATGCTAATGCAAGGTTTCAGGTCGAGGACCATGGTGAGGAAAGAAACTGGAATGGTTCCCATGTGTGCCTCAGTCAAATAGGAAAAGGGTATATAACTCATTCTCCATTTTAGGACTTTTAGGTTATGGAATGGGGGAAGGCATACATAATAGAAAAGAGGTAAGAGACACCAGAGCATTTGGAGGCCCCTTAAATGCAGAAGCAAAATTAAAGGAAAACTAGTACTGCCACATCTTCCGTCTACTTTCAATACACACCTGGTGGAGATTTTTTTGTTTTTCCTTTTGTAATTATGATAGTCTTTTTTATTTTTTATTTTTATTTCAGAGAGGGAGAGAGAAAAGACACATCAGTGATGAGAGAGAATCACTGATTGGCTGCCTCCTGCACGCCCACTACTTGGGGTGGGGGGGATCTAGCCCGCAATCCAGACATGTGCCCTTGGCAGGAATTGAACCTGGGACCCTTTAGTCCACAGGCAGAGGCTCTATCCACTGAGCCAAACTGACTAGGGCACAGTATTGTTTTCTAACTCTGTCTATATCCCTATTGCCTCTCCATTTTCATTTGGTGGTTGTTCCTCCAGCAATATTAGGATAAAGATATTTTCTTTAACTATGATTGACAAAAGTTGAATGTGAGAGCAGTAAAATTAAATAAATATCTGAATTCAGAGCAATATTATTACCAATGTATTGTTTTGTACTGTTTCATTACAGCTTGTAGATTTTCAGTGGAAACTGGGTATGGCTGTGAGCTCAGACAGTTGCAGATCACTTAAGTATCCTTATGTTGCAGTGATGCTAAAAGTGGCAGATCATTCAGGCCAAGTAAAGACCAAGTCTTTTGAAATGACAATTCCACAGTTTCAGGTTTGTGATTTAATTCAGTCAATTGTAGCTCATTGTTCTGTCATTGCTGCTTAACATTATGTATAAAATCTTTCTTAAGGGGGATATTAATTGTTTTTATTTACAACTGTTTTGATGTGCTTTCTATTTATTAGTATACAAGATCTGAATTTGTTTTCTCTGGGAATTTGATAAGTTGTTTTCAATATAATATGCTGAATTTGTATACTGTAACATTTGATCACTTTCATAGTAGTCTTCTGTAATATATTTAGAAAGTTTTCATTTTCTCTGGCAGGATATTTACTTTGCTTTTAACTGTTTTATTCTTTTTAAGTTTAATATTTGAGAATGATGAGCTAAATGAGTCTTATTTTTAATAGAGTTAACCTTGAATCTTCTGACTAATAATGTTTATAAAAAGGAGATCAGAACACTAATACTTGATGATTAGTTCTGTTAGCTAGAGATTTGAGTATCTGAATTGTTTATATTTGGAGTCCTGTAGGTCATATTAGCATTCTACCTGTTTTCTATAAGGAAGGAAGAAAAAAGAGGGTAGATGAGAAATTACTTTTTTTTTTTAAATGTACATATAGGGAAATGTGTTGTCATTAACTACTTTAACTGGTCTTAGGGTTTTGTTTTTGTTTGTTTTTTATTTCAAGCTGAGTGAACAGATAAGAATCTTCACAGCAGTTAGTACTCCTAAGAAAAACCTCTCATAAGCCACTTTTGAGTTTTTCTTTTACTTTTTCCCCTCAGATTTATTAAGGTATAATTGACAAATAAAAATTGTATATATCTAAGGTGTACAAGGTGATATTTTGGTTATACGCACATTGTGAAATGATTACCACAATCAAGCTAATTAAACTATGTCACCTCACTTAATGTGTGTCTGTATGATGAGAACACTTAAGATCTGCTCTCCTGGCAAATTTCAAGCATATAACACATTATTATTAACTGTAGTCACCATGATGTACATTATGTCTCCAAAACTTACTCATCTTATAACTGAAAGTTTGTAATTTAACAAATATTTCCACATTTTCCTTACTCCCCAGTCCTGGTAACCAGTCTACTCTCTCTTACTATGAGTTCCACTTTTTTAGATTGCATGTTACTATGAGAGCAGGCAATATTTGTCTTTCTGTGTCTTCTGGCTTGTAGGTTCATTCATGTTGTCAAAATAGTAGGATTTCCTTCTTTCTAAGGGTGAATAGTATCCTGTTGTGAATGTATGTATATACATTTATATATCATGTATAAATATACTCATATTGTATATATTTTTATATATCACATTTTCTTTATCCCTTCATCTGTCATCACACACTTAGGTTGCTTCTATACCTTGGTTATGGTGAATAAAGCTGCAATGAACATAGGAGTGCAGATATGTCTTTGAGATAGTGATTTTATTTCCTTTGGAACAGAAGTGGGGTTGCTGGATCATATGATAGCTCTATTTTATAAATTACATTTTAAGGTTTTTTCCTCCTTTTGATTTCTTTCTTTTAAAACTGATATCTCTGCTTTAGAACGAAAAAGAATGGTCACAGATTCAGCATTAATAATGCTAATTAATTAATATCTTAAAGTAATTAGGACTTCATTAAAAAGGAAATAAATATAGTATATTGTGATTTGTGAGTAGCCTTTAACTGAATATAAGAACCCCTTCAATTTCAAAAGAGAATATAGATTTCAGTTCTTTTTATGATTCAGGATCTTGGTCTAATTCTTATTTTTCTGTGTAGCCTTTATGTGCTCTGATTCCACCTGCAGAATTTTTTTTTTCTCATAGGAAAAACACACACAAATGGGGCAACTCTTTTAAAGTTAGTTTTTACATGGCTTAACATCTAATGAGGAAAACAGAGCCTGCTAGTCAAATTACAGGACTGAAACCTTGGCAACATTCTTTGAGCTTTCAATTTATATCTTTTTTTGTAGCTGAAATTTTGACCTTGACTTTTACAGAGAGAAGAGAAAGGGAATGAAAGAGAGAGAGAAACATTGACATGAGTGTGAAACATCAATCTGCTGCCTCCTGCACAAACCTTCCTACCAGGATCCAGGCCCACAACCCAGGCATGTACCCTGACTGGGAATTGAACAGGCAACCTATCGGTGCATAGACTAGGCCCAGCCAACTGAAGTTTTCCTATATAAAACCCTAATATGCAAATCAACCTAACGGTGGAATGACAGGTCACTATGACGCACACTGACCACCAGGGGGCAGACACTCAATGCAGGAACTGCCTCCAGCCAGCAGGCCCCAACTGGCAGTTGCGGGGATCCCCTGATGGCCCCGCAGATTGGCCCTGATCACTGGCCAGGCCTAGGGACCCTACCGGTGAACGAATTTTGTGCACCGGGCCTCTAGTCTATATAATAAAGGCCTAAGCGGCCATTATGGCAGACAACCAGAACGACTGGTTGCTATGATGTGCACTGACCACCAGGGGGCAGATGCTCAGCTCAGGAGCTGCTTCCTGGTGGTCAGTGTGCTCCCACAGAGGGAGTGCTGATCAGCCAGAAGCCAGGTGAACGGCTGGCAAGTGCAGCAGCAGTGGCAGGAGCCTCTTGCTTCCACTGCATGCGGGCTGTAAGGAGCGAGGGGTCCCAGACTGCAAGAACCCCGGACTGTGAGAGGGATGTCCAACTGCCAGCTTAGGCCTGATCTCCCCTGAGGGGTCTCGGACTGCGAGAGGGCACAAATTTCGTGCACCGGCCCTCTAGTCGGTATATATTTTGAAAGAAATAGTCACATCCTTCTCATTCCATAATAAATTTACATGTAAATTAAAACAAAATTCACTCTTAAGTACCAATAGAGAGTTAAAACTAAAAAAGAAGGAAAAGGCAAATGTGTAAATCATTTTTGCTGAGGTTAAATTTTAAATTTGCCTCCCTACTTCCTGGCAGGTTGAAGAGAAGGAAGACAGAATATGTTTGATCCCTTTCTTATCTGAATTTGTAAAAAGAAGATGACTTCTACAGGAGAACTAAGCCAGCAGGCCCCAACTGGCAGTTGCGGGGATCCCCTGATGGCCCCGCAGATTGGCCCTGATCACTGGCCAGGCCTAGGGACCCTACTGGTGAACGAATTTTGTGCGCTGGGCCTCTAGTCTATATAATAAGTGACCATATGGCGGAACAACCAGAACGACTGGTTGCTATGATGTGCACTGACCACCAGGGGGCAGATGCTCAGCTCAGGAGCTGCTTCCTGGTGGTCAGTGTGCTCCCACAGAGGGAGTGCTGATCAGCCAGAAGCCAGGTGAACGGCTGGCAAGTGCAGCAGCAGTGGCAGGAGCCTCTTGCTTCCACTGCATGCGGGCTGTAAGGAGCGAGGGGTCCCGGACTGCAAGAACCCTGGACTGCGAGAGGGATGTCCAACTGCCAGCTTAGGCCTGATCTCCCCTGAGGGGTGTTGGACTGCGAGAGGGCACAAATTTCGTGCACCGGGCCTCTAGTCGGTATATATTTTGAAAGAAATAGTCACATCCTTCTCATTCCATAATCAATTTACATGTAAATTAAAACAAAACACACTCTTAAGTACCAGTAGAGAGTTAAAACTAAAAAAGAAGGGAAAGGCAAATGTGTAAATCATTTTTGCTGAGGTTAAATTTTAAATTTGCCTCCCTACTTCCTGGCAGGTTGAAGAGAAGGAAGACAGAATATGTTTGATCCCTTTCTTATCTGAATTTGTAAAAAGAAGATGACTTCTACAGGAGAACTATCAGACTAGCTCAATTTTTAAATGAAAGAAAAATAAGCTTCTACCATTTAAGCCATTGTCAATGTTGGGTCTCTCATATTGCAATTGAATCCATATCTGAAACAAAACAGCCCCTATCACCCTGAAATGCAGTCTTTCACTAGATGTAAAGTGATTTGAGGCCTGGGAACCAACCTGTCATTTTTTGTTATTTTAATCTTCAGTGTCTAAGACAGTGCTGGCTAGTTAATAAACCTTTCTTGTGTGATCTCAAAAGAACTTTCTTGTATACTTTTTGAAAAGTTTAGTTATGTGCTAGTTATCCAACTCTGCAATATTTTTCTTATAGTACCAAATTATGCCTCTTTTTTTCCTCAGAGTAACCTTCAATAATAGTTCAGAATATCACATTCAAATATAATCTTAATGTTATATAGCCTCTGGTGGTCAGATATTATTATCTCTGAAAGCAAAATTAACATTATTTTTCTCCTTTCCAGAATTTCTACAGACAGTTCAAGGAAATTGCTGCAATTATTGAAACTGTGTGAAAACTGATTACTTGGTTGGTAAATTGCTACCATCGTTCTAAAATCATGGACTTCACATTCTGCAATATAACTGCATGAGGATCAGATGACTTTTTTATTGAAAGAAAATTGTATTTTTGTTTTTCCATTTTTTTAATAATAAAAAAATTAGACAAACAGGAATTAGGTAAGAGGTGATCAGTGCACTTATAGATGTGAATGTACTAAAAGCCACTGAATTTGTTATCAGCAGAAGTGGAGTTCTTGGGGTGCCATGGGGAAAATAATTTCCTGAGGAGGATGGGGTTTCATGGAAAACTTTATTGATGATGTAAAATTCAGGGGGTTCTCCTCCAAGGTCCCATCCACCATGGAAAAAGTCCAGTCATATCTTCAGCAGGGCCAGGGTTAAGGCCACTGCCCAGAGTTTCTACTCCATATGAAAACCCAGTCCAGTCCAGCATCTGGCTAGCTTAGCTCGTGTTCCCAGCTGCACTCCATTGTGTGTGGGGTCTGCACTGCCCTGAACCCTGTGGTTATGGAGAGGAAATAGGCGTGTGCACAGGTGAGTGCAGGTCATGGAGCAAGAGACAGAG